TCATCCCCTCCCTCTACCTTTAGACCTTCCCTTCCCAACCTGCTTTAAATTATCCAAGCTGTGGGAAAAAAGCCCCTTCCATAGGTTTCGTATTTGAAGCTGTCTGACTCCGATTATGAAGGTCTTTCCTTCCTCCTGGAGGGGGAAAAAGTATACAACAGATGGTTCTCAATCTTTTTTTGACTACTTATTTGGTGAGGTCTGCATTTTCATTTTGGAGCTCCTTCTGATGAGTTAGAAAAAAAAAAGCCTTATCTCTGCAGTATGTTTTACGTTCTGAAGTGGGTTTTCTCTGACAACCCCAGCTGTAGCACTTGTACCACTTTTCTCTTGACTTAGTTTTTAAAAGAAATAATTTTTTTAAGTTTTTTTTTTTTGTGAAACCAGCTTGGTAGCAGTGCTTATGTGCTCTTTCTTCGTTTGCTGGCCATTTCTCATTATCTGTCTCTACAGTATGCTGAAGGCAGGCACAGCATCCATTTTTAGTCAATAGACTGCAGCAGTAACAAAAAATATAACAGTAGGCTGAAAAAATTCTAATACTAGCTTTCATTAGCAAGGAAACAAGAGGCAAAGCAGTCACAGGATTCATGAATACAAAAGCAAGCTGCACTGTAAAAAAATTGGCAAGAGAGTTATTACCTCTAGTCCCCCAACCTCATAAACAGGCATTTGCTTAGTTCTGTTTGCGAAAAGCCCGAGCATATAGCAAGAATTTTTATACCTTTTTTCCATGCTTCAGTAACCATTGATATTGTATCTGTGTGCTACCAGATAACTCAAAATACAAATTTTATCCAAACTGAGGGCAGAGAAGGGCAAGAACGAGGGCTTTCTGGCATTTCTTCAAATGAGCACTGAAGCATACAATACAGTATTAAAACCCTTTTTTTTCAGCCATGTAGGAAAAGAGATAATAGACTGAAACTTATTCCAGGAGAAAGCCTGAGACTTCAAAGTCAGCACAGCAGCATCTTTTGAGCAAAACTGACCATACAGAATGAGTTTAAATTGGCTTCTTACTTTGCTTCATGGGATTTTCTTTTGATCTCATACCACAAGACCTAAAGACAGATTTATTCTGTGATCAAACTGGAGCCTAAATCTATTGACTAGTAAAGAGTTTGCAGGGATGCTCCCAATTCTAAGTAAGCCCTAATCTCTTGAGAATAACATAAAGAATTAATTTTCTGTATTTTTTTGAAGGAAGAACTCTTGCAAAGTATACTAGAAAGATTTCCTTCTATGTGTGCTGAGACATTCCTCATGCAAATCATTTAGTAGATTTTTGCTGTTAGTATATCTTGCTTACTTTATGTTCAGCCCCAACAGGTATCTGAGGATCAACTGAATGTGCAATGACCTTCATCTGGTTCTTTTTTTCCTTTGATTTTACTCAATGAAAAGATGATTGACAAGCCACCTTTTTTGCAGAGCAATTTTTGCAAAGTTTTAAAAGCAATCTGCTTTCTAGCAAAAGAATAGTAAACTGCGAAAGAGCTGCACCAATATTTTTCGCTCAGGCTTTTTCTTTTCCGCTTTTTTTTTTCCTCTTCACTGTCAAAAAGAAAGGTTGCAAAGACAGCATTTTCTTAGACACACAGATTTTGGTGATGTTAGCCATAGAAAGGTTTATTCCCTTCAAGAAAGATTTTCTATTCATTTCTGGAGAGGCAAGGAGAAGTCAGCATGAAAACTTGAAACAAAAATAAACATTTTTACACCAATCATTTTTCCAGAAAAAAAGGATTTTTTTTCTCTCTGAAGTTCAACAAGTGCATTTTAAAGTTTCAGAAACTGTCACAGGAGCTGTCATATTCCAGTAATTTCTAACAATAACTCCATTTACTTGGTAATAGTGCTTAAGTTCAATACCACAAACAGAGACCAAAAGAAGATCCTGCTGTTGCAAACTGTCATTGTAACATTCAGTAGTGTCTTCAGAGAAAGCCTAAAGACTTTCTAGTGAAAATCTGCAAATGACAAACCAAGAGGAGTCTGTTAGGGAAAAGAACAACTGCAGTCAAAGTCAATATATGTGTAAGGAGATTTCAGATTTCAAGGAATTTAATAAATATTCTGTTCCAATTAGGTGTTAACATTGTTAATTTTGTTTTAAAAAAGAGCTTACTGATATCATATTCCAATTTCTTAGTGTGAAAAAAAAATAAACCTAAATCAATCCTAACGAAAAGGAAAAAAATCACAAATATTTTATTTTCCGTTAATTTATAAAATTTACAGTGCTAATTGGGAAAGTGGCTTAGAGAAAGCTGATCCAGAGAAGTGCTCTTCAGCTCTTATTACTGCAAGAGTCTTCCTGTTCTTCAGTTTGTTCTCTAATATGTTTCAGGCACAAGAGATCATCTTTCTTGCAGAGGTGATCTTCAGGGACTGCTTTTCAGCATGTTTTTTACCTAAGAAGAGCCAGGCAGTATGTATATTAACAGTAAGGACCATCAACACAACACTACACAGTTTTGACATTGCTCTGTGTATGGAGTGCAGGATTGCATGCCTTAAAAATTACCACAGAGTTTTTGCTAAAGTGAAGTTAGCTTCTTTCCTTGAGTATTAATTAATAAGGTTCCTGAAGTTTTTCATCAGAGAAAAAAAGTTGTGGGTTTTGTTTTGTTTGCTTGTTTATTTGTTTGTTTTAATAACTGTTGTAATTGGTGAAACATTGCTGTCTAGTCCACCCATAACACCTGTCTTCTTTTATTGTCCTCCTTTGTTCAGCTGTTCTACCCTACTACCTTTTACGTTGAAAACCTGTTCTTCAGATTGTAGAGTAGTTTTTCTTGTTCATCTATTATCTTACTTTCTTTAGACTGAATGCCTTTCTCCTCATTGAGGAAAAGTTCCTACCTGGAACAACCACAGACACAAAAGTAACAGGGCATTTATTAATGAAACTATGAATGTTTAGGCTTTCCTAACTTTTGTTCTGTCTGTTAAAACACAATTGCAGGCAGGGCAAAATGAAGCTCTAATTAACATACTTGTTATGATTTGAGCCAAAAAGGCCTGCTGGAAACTTTCCTCTTTCATTTTTGTTCACTTTTGGACTGTGTTCTTAGACAAAACAATCACCATTTCCAGCATGTGTAGATGATACCTATATTTAACACTTCTGTCAAACTGCTATACTGAGATCCCTACTCACTCTAATTGTCTATGTAAGACAAATTATTGGACATTTGATGTAAGATAATCGGTCTTTTAAACAGATTAAATTTTACTAAATAAAAACTCTGTAAAACAGTGCTCATTAACTAAACCTAAATGTCTTCTGGCTGATTTTCCCGTGCACAACCACTTCTGTAATATGCTTTTTAAAAAGTCTGAGGTTCAAAAGAAACTCATGAAAAATTTAAAAAGCCAATTATTTTATAAGAATTTTTCCTAAGAAAATGCCATTTATCTTCTTTGCCAAAATTGAAAGGCAAAATACTAGCCCCAGTCACCAATAAGGTTGTCAGTCCAGCTCATCTGAAATTTTCCTAATTTTGGGTGTGGTGAGAAGGGAATTGAGCAGAGTGTCAAAGGACATTGATTGATACACTTGTCCACTGATGACCTACAGTTGAAACGTTGTATCCCTCAGAAACAAAGAAAGTCACCCTCAATATTTTGTACCCCAGACAGCTTTTATTTACGCCTTTTGAACTCCTTTTTTATTTCTGTCTCTGAACAAAAAACTTGTCTCATAGCAATGCAAGGTAAAATGGGAATGACAACTTGAAACAGGAGAGATTACCACTTTTCATCATAGAGTCTGCCTAGTTGCCAGTCAGAAAACATTAACAGCTAGGAAATTATTCTTAGAGAGGTATTTTGGTCTTCTTTACCATGAGCATATATTCAAGCTTTGCATTAGAATGCATTTATTTATTTTGATTTTTTTTTTTTTTTATTTTAAGAGACTCAGTGTACATCTTAAAATAAAATCTTGTCCCTCTGTCCTCTGAGTAATTTTTTAAGTGAGCTGCTCCTGTCGAAGACATTTTTACAAAGGACAATACTTTCCAGATGAAACCTCAAGTGAACTGTCCTGTTATGGCTCAATAAAGGCTTTCCCAGATTTTTCCACACAGAAGAAACTTCATTTCCTCCTTTGGAGACTGTTACATAATCTGGTGGCAAACATTTTTCCTTTACCTACCATTTAAATGTTTATTCTGTGGGTATAAATTTTAAGCTAAGTAATTCTTCATTAACATTAATGAACAAGTAGTTGACAAAAATTTTCATGTTTTCAAGGGGATATAAAGAAAACATGGTGTCTTTACCCTACCAAGAAGAAAATGCTGTAGGCATGCACAATATAGTGAAAGAATAAAAACAACCAAACAAAAATAAAGCAAAACAATCAAACAAGTCAGACATTAAGCAGTATTTTGTCAGGGGGGAGATATAGTTAGGTTCCTTGGAGGGCCACATGCCTGTGTAATTGTCTTAATAAAGGGAATATTCTCTCTCACACATTCAAAATTTTCAGATTTCAAAATGACCTGACTAACATTAAGTTTTGGGCCTATTAAATCAGACACAAACTTTTATATTTCAAGGTTATATAAAGAAATATAATTTCTTGATTATTTACACTTCTTGCAAAACTCACACCTTAATGAAATTCATAACTGTTGTCCTATTTTTATAAAAAAAACTAAACTTTGTTCTACCGGGTAAATTCTGATGACATTAACCATGTGCAACATCAGTGTCTCCTATGTCATCGCTCTTAATCTCAGCAAAGGTAAACCCCTAAATACAGAGCTTGCTGTTGCATCACAGAAGATGAGGAATCTAGCAAATGCTACAGAGGACTGCTTGCAGTATACATTTTGAGGAAGCACAATCAGGAAAAAAAAAAAAAAGAAGAAGCTTGATTTTTCCTCTTAGTTTCATTTGAATAATCAAACTCTAAATTGTAGCACTTAAATGGAAGTCAAAGAACTTGGAGTGTGATGGAGGAAGCAGTAATCAGTTTGAAAAGATGTTGAATCTCTGATGAGCACTGAATATGTCAGATTAAGTTATGTCCTAGAAAGGGAGGAACCCTGAACAACTGCTAGTCACTTTAAATTATTCTGCATTTCAAACAGGAAATCTTCCAATTAGACTAACAGCTGCAGAGATTGGAATAAACCTTACATATCAGAAAATTAAAGAAATGCAGCTGAGTACTAAGGAAAGGAGCTAAGGTAAGTAATTTTCCTACTTCTTTTCTGCAACAAAACTTAATTTCAAGGACTTTTAGGATAAGAAAATGACTGAAAATTTATTACATGTGATTAAGACAGGAAAAAACAACTGCCATGAATTATGCTGGGTAATTTTTTTTCATATGTATGTTGCGTTTGTCCTAAAATATTCGTTGTTTCTTTCAAAGTGGGTGGAGACTTCTGTATTTCTCCTTTTCCCAGGTCCATTCCAATACAACACTATTATTTCCAAATGTTTTAAAGAAGATAAGCCAAAATAATATATTGGAATTACTCTATAGTTAAGAGTCATCTCCATTTGAAACTCTCTTTTCAAAGATAGTCAGCTACAAACTATATGTAAGAAAAGAAAACATAGTTGAAGACAGTAACTCAGAAGATAGAAAGGAAGTTTTAAGGAGTGAAAAAACCCATCTTCAACAACAAAAAGAATTCTCATGCCAGAAAAAATAGATGATAAAAGAAAATAGTATTGAAAATACAGCATACACCTTGAGCATTCTACTGTATCTGAGAAAATAAATAACATCAAAAATTTTACCTAGACACCCTCCATGTCATTTCAGGATCTGAAGATGTAAGCCTGTCTGTATGTCAAAATTATGTTTAGCTTTTAATAACTGGACTAGTATTAGACATCAGTCTCTAAAACCAAAATGGATAGAGTCATGAAGTGTCAATCATGAATTATAAACGTGGTTGTTTGTGGGGGATTTTTTGTGATGAAATATGTTTTAAGCAAAAAAAAATTCACATGATAAAGCTATATATTTCCATAATGATTCTCTCAGACACCTACAAATACTACTCCTGCAGCTTTTGGCAGTGTACATCCCATAACTGGCCTTTCAGAGACATGTCTCATTTCTGAAAGAGGTTGTTCCTTAAAGAATCTCAGGTTAGATAAGCACTTTGATTTTTTTAAAACCATACACTAAATGTCAAGGCACGTTCTCATGCTACATACACAATTCCTCCTACAGGCTTTGCTCCTAAGTGTTTAGCCTGGGCTCTCTGTCCCTTTGATACATACACAACATCTTGTAATCTATCACAAGAGTTCACTGAAATCACAACTGAATCTCTAGCAGGCAAAAATACAGCCTTTCAGTGCTATAATTCCTCCCATTTTAAAATGCTTCATTCCCCTGGTGCCTTTTAAATAAGCCTTAAGCCATAATTAGGAAAAAGTCTAATAATTTTCCTTAATATATAACTTCAGATTACTTTCTTCACAAGATCTTCAACTAATGTTAAAGCTTTGAAAGTCTTGATAGGATCAAAGACAAATTCATCAGGAAGAATATATAGAGGAAAGTGATCAATTTCTTATACCAGTATATATTCACCTCACATCAAGATTTAGCCAGCTCTGGAAATATTAGATCTGAAATGCCACTGCAATACATAATTTCAGTAAGAAAGTGGAATTAAAGAAAATCCAGGAGACCCTCTCTTGCTTGCTGATAGACAAAGGATTCAAAGACTAAGCTACCCCTAAGGAGTGAATTTTTCTAGCCCGACAGATGCATTCAGTCAGGGAAAAAGGACCTTTAAGCCAGAAATGTGTTCAAAAAGTATCATTTACCTTTAAAAATGGATTAAAATTTATGTTTAAATGGTTGACGGAATCAAAGGTTCAAATGAACAGTTTGAATAGAAAGCCTGTTGCTTTTAGGTTACACAGAAGATGCTGGGGAAAATGAAAATTTGCATTAAAATGTTAGGTTTAATATTCTACAATGTAATAGACTAATTATGAAATGTATTAAGACCAAGGGATAGCATAGCATCAAGGGGAAGAATGCATCAGATGGACAAATGCCTGGAAATCACTCTGACCTCTGGTGAAATGAACCTTGTTTTCTGCTTGTAGTCAGTGTATTCTGCTATGGGAAAATCTGGAGGATTTTCATGGGACATGGGACAGCACTTTTGCTCTCCTGTTAAAGACTGTTTCTTGTACTGCTTAATAAGCATCACTTAATTTGACTGTAGCACATTTAATATATGGTACAATCAAGATACAAGACCCACTGAAAATCAGCTGTGATTTTTTTTTTTTTTAAGCTCCTCAGTTACCTGAAAGAGTGTTTTTCTTGTGGTCACTAACTACTGCTGAGATCCAGCAATGATAATTTGTATGCTCACTGTATCCTGGTGTGAGGGAGTTTTTTGTCTACTCAAAGATTTTAAAATTGTTTCATAGACTGACGGCAACCATCTTAACCTGATTCTTTTCAGCTGATGAAGACTAACTGCAATCATCTAATCTAATCTCACATCTAGAAGTTAGAGACTTCCAAATATGAGCTCCCAACTCCTGTCTATTCATTGAATTTGAAAATGTCAGTGGTTGTTGTGCTGTTTCAGAAACTGAGTATCTGTTAACAAGATGTTAATGCAATGAATGTGACTCCCCACATAGTTTTGAGAAATAGGTATTGCCAAACTAACTTCATTTCTGTGTGAATACAAGTTTATCTGACAGATGCACAAGTGATAATGCAATAGAATTCTACAAAGTATTTGATATCACTCACCGTAGGGTTAAGAAACATAAGCAACACAAAATTAGTGTGCTGCATACCATTAGGATTAAACATTAGTTAAACAGTATATTTCAAAAAAGGATTATAAATAATAAGTCTTAACCAATTAGGAGAACTGTGGACATCCTATGAAGGAGGAAAAGTGATTCAGACTATAATTTAAAGCTTATGTTAGCTATTGTTGAAAAAGCAAAAACATTCTCAAATTAAAAAAAAAAGGAGGTTTTACCATACAGATAGCATCAAAGAGGGGTTGTTTGGGGTAGGAAGAATTCAGACAGATGTGGGAAACCAGAGAATTTTTTAAAAAACTGGTTAACTTAATGTGCATATATATATATTTATAGATTTATGAGTTTCAATAAGACCAAATATTGGAATATCTCTCATAGCAGCAGACAGAAAACTTTCACGGGAAAGAGTGACACTTGTGGATGATCTTCTGAATATGTGTCCACTCTGTTGCCATAGTCTAAAGGGTTAATGTGACCTTGCATGTGTTAATTCTATTATTACTGATGGTCAAGGGAGTTACATTTCTTATATGGAACAGCTTGATGGAGTGGAGAACTCAGAGGAGTACAAAAAGGCTTATTAAAGGATTGAACAAAGCCATAGAATGCAATACCTGAGGAGTTCAACAGATTAGTTCAACAAGAACAAAAATGGGTAATTACAACACATCCTGTAGGGAAGACACACATAATAGTGGACTTTCCACTCTAGAAGAAAATGTGAAGCTGAAAATGTGAAAGCTGAAAAAATTTAGATTGAAGTTCAAAGATATTACTAGAGTGAACAATTGAGTGTTTTGACTGGAATATATGTACAGATGTTCATTCCCTGAAAGTAATTGTAAATAATCCACAAGGCTTTAAGCAACCATGTATTTTAAGGAACTGGTAAGTGTTCTTAAGTAGTTCCCAATAATTATTCACATTTTTCTCTTTAGTTTCTATTTACCAGCTGACTAAGTCCATAATTATCTGTATGCCTGTGAAACTAGCTGCTGGTATGCACCAGAGCATGTGTTATTGGTTCCCACAGAAGCATAACCAAATCATTATGACTTGCAGTAATCACTATTACTTTTAAACCTTGAATCAGTTCCTTCAGTACCTCTTAAAAAGAAAAGAAAAAAAAAAGACTAGCCTAGAACTTACACACTTGGAATGTTATATTTTAAAGATTATAAAACTGTCACTAATAATTTAGAGACATTATTTTGATGTTAACATTGAAAGAGAAAAAAACTGCAGTATATTTCTGTCTACAACTCCTGCTTGTTTTTAATATTAAGTCATATTTTCTAGGCATTCTTGACCACTTGTCGCATTCTCTCTGTTCTGCTTTGGCTTTCTTTGGCTGACATCAAACTATCTAATCCTCTTGTTTATTAGTTAGAAGACTACTCTCAAGGCTAACAAGGTCGTTTACATTCGATTTGTGCTGGATTCAGAAAAAAGGTAACAATGCCTTGACCCTCTTGTACGTTTGACCCTTATTAAATGGATTTAAACTTATTGATTTTACACTCTAATGAAATCTTCCCAGTAGATTTTAGAAATATCAGCTAGATTTTCATGCATTCATTTCTAGCCTTTACCAATGATTCTGAAATTGGTGTATAAACAAATAAGAATTTTTTCCCCAAGGTCTTATTGCTGAAGATATCATTGTACTGTCATCTTAATTTTCTGCTGAATTAATACACTTTATCTGCTCCTTTATTCTGTACATGAACATAACTTTTAATAAAAACTATATGAGAAAATCAGTAAGATGGAACCAAAGTAATTTATTCTTTACATTGTTATTTGTTTGCATGTGTTTGTCTATTTTAGTCATTATTGTCTTATATTAAGATGCCACTATTTTAGAAAAGTGAAAACCTTTGAGTGTATTATACATTTAACTGTATTACAGTATTTCTTGGTGAGATAATATTTAGGCATCTACTTTATTTGAGATACATTCAGCAGATATTCTGGCCATTATTGAAATTTTTTGTTTATTTCTTAAATAATTTGGAAATAAAAGAAAAACTAATTTAATGTGAGGTTATTTTTTATAATCAGTTCTCAGATTTTTTATGAAAACAGAGAAAATCCTGAAATTGTTGAAACAAAAAGCTGAAAAATGCTGGTTTAAAACATTAAAATCAAAATGTGAGCTTTTCAAACAGTCTCTATTACAAAGTCATTTCAAGTATAGTGACATTTCAGTCACCTCCGTACTGAACTTTTTAGTGAATTAACTACTCATTTCATTATTCATCTTTGTTTCTGGAGCCATCCAGATAGATTGCTCATTCGTCTTGCATGGAAAAGAAATAACTTACTCATTTTTCTTGGCTGATGTTGCAATACATCTTTCCCTAGAAAGACTGTAGGACTGACAGGAACAAAAAAGGGAAAGATTAACTGTCTTGAAGCTATACATTAATGCTTGGGATGCATGAGAAGAAAAAATAATGTTTTCCTCTTCCCTGTGGGTCTTAAAGTAGTTAGTATTAAACAAGTTTGCTCATAATAATATTTTTTCCCCTGTTATAAATTATTTCTGTTTTGAAGGGGAGCACTCAAGGCCCAGAACCTTGATGTTTGACATGACGTGGTCTTGCACAGAGCATATTTTCACTGGGTCAACTTGGAGAAACTGCTGAAACTAAGAAACTATCCTACAGAACCGGTTTTCCTTTCTTTCCTCAACTTAGCAGTCACTTGTATTCCTTTCAGCACTGAAGAATGACATGAATTAAATGGCTTTGTTTCTCAGAAAATATCACGTTCCATGTATTTTCTATCCAGACATAGTCTGAAGACGTTAATCAGTTCCCTGTCACTTGGTCATTTGAATAAACACAATCTTTAAAGAAACTATTACTTTCTGGATATCAAGAATGGGATCGTGTGTGAGAGGTTGAAATGTTGTTAATGTCTTAAACATTGTCAAAATCATAGAAAGACTTTTTGTCAAACTGCAAAGAAGGCAACTGGCCATCTGCAACCACTAAAGCACCATCCCCATAGCCCCCCTTCCCCCCCTAAATATGCCTCCTGACTGAAATTTGGACTGTAACTGGGGACTTGAGATAACACCAATTATCTCAGGTCTGAGGAGAAGTAAACAAGGCTCAGGGAAGAAGAATGTATCTGTCTTAAGAATCAGTCCTAGCTGGCCCCAGCAGGTGGAGGAAGAGAAGGATTTTTGGTGTGCCACAGCAAAATGTCTCCACACAAAAGGAATAAACCCCATCTCCTACAAGACCACATACACAAGGGGTATTCACATCAGAGGCAGCTGAGAAGGGGTCATAAACCATCACAGAACCCCAAAGCACCCTCCAACTCATTCCTGAGGCCTTCTGGCACCAGAGGACAGCATGTGATCCAAGTGATGCAACAAATACAGAGCCTGTTGAAAGAGACTGCAAAGCTTCCCCCTACAAAAGGGAGATGCCTGGGCATTTCCTGAACATATATTAATCCATTGGACTCAATGTTTTATGGGACCCTCACCATCAAGAAGACTAGAAGAGGAGGACCCATGGGATACCATTAGGTTCCATGGAATGGAACATTGATACATTTTCTCTTTAACCTCTCTCTGCCACTCTCATTCTTCCCTACCCCCTTCTTTTTCCAATTCCTTTTTCTCTCTCTCTGCCTCACATTCACTGTTGAATAAGATTCATACTTTTGACCTTGGTATAAGGTCTTGTTTGCACCTTAATTCAGGAAGGGCATTTCTAATAATTTTAATAACCAGATCATAACACCAAGTATATGAACACAACTGTTACAAGGAATTCTCCATGTTTATTCAGTAATGTTATATATATATGGAAGAGAATGATCTTGCAGGATTAAAGGCCCAGCTATTGCCTTTATCAGGGAGTGGCAAGGACTCGCTGTTTTTTAAGGACAGGTAGCACCCTCTCTGTCAAGGGCACAATGTCACAGCACTTGAGTAGCAAAGAGCAGAGAAGGTTGACAACAGTGATCAGATTCAGACACAGTCCACTTTGCCATGTGCCTCTCTAATGGCAAGGCAGGGCTGAGGTCAAGGCAGAAATTCAAGTCAGTGGGAGAGGATCAGGGATGAAATCAGATGGAAAAACTCATGGTTTACAGTTTTAGACAAAACCTCTCGAGTCCACCTCCAGATTAGCCATTCTGACAAACACTGCCCCTCTACCATAGAAATATTAAATGTGTGAAAAATAATTTATGCACTGGAAATTAGGTCCTTGCTGGCACTGTAGTTCTAGACACCTGGAAGACACAAGAGACTACAACTACAAATCTATGAAACACGAATGGGGTTAGTTTTGGAGAAGTCTCACAGACTACTATGAAGGAATAATTCTCTAACAGTCCAACATACATGATGGAATAGTTGATTAGTAGAAGAGAGCAGGAAAATGGTCATAGAGAAAGGAACAATTGCACAGAGCAAAAGCACGGTAAAAGAAAAATAACTACGGAGATAAAAACCAGTAAGGATTATTTTTGGAGTCTCATAATCCTAATACTTTAATTAACATTATAATTAACATTAAACTGTTAATTAACATAAAATTAATATTGATGGAGAAAATTTACCATGTTATATATATATATTTTATGACCATATTCCCTATCAGAAATCCCAATGCAAAATGTGTGCTGCAATATGCAATAATGTGAAAGAGACAAGGGGTCACCTTGGCTGGGTGCTGAGTGTCCACTGAGTCACTCTATCACTCTCGTTCCTCAGGACAGGGGGAAAAAGTACAATCAAAAGTTCATGAGGATGGCATAAGTATAGGGAGATCACTCAACAATTATCATCATGGGCAAAACAGACTTGAATTAGGAAAAATAATTTAATTTATTGCCCATTAATCAGAGTGAGATAATGAGGAATAAAGAACAAATTTTAAAACACCTTTCCCCCAGGCTCCCTTCTTCCCATGCTCAGCTTTTTTTACTCCTGACTTTTCTGCTTCTTACTCTACTTACCCTAAGTAATGCAAGGAGACAGGAAATAGGGGTCATACCCACTCTGTTTTTGCTGCTCCTTCCTTCTCACACTCTTCCCCTGCTTCAGTGTGGAGTTTCTCCCATGGGAGACAGTCATCCATGAACTTCTCCAATGTGATTCCTTTCCACAGGCTGCTCCAATGTGGGGACTCCCATGGGGTGTGGTCCTTCAAGAACAGGCTGCTTCAGCATGGGACTCCCATGGGATCACAGAACCTTCCAGAAATCTTGCTCCAGAATGCATTCCTCTTTGCTTGAGTTCACCTAACCTGACAGGAGCCTGCTCCAGGACAAGCTTCCCATAGGGTCACTGCTCTCACCTGCTCCAGTGTGGAGTCCTCCAGGGCCTGCAGGTTGATCTCATCTCCCCCCTGGACCTCCACTGGCTGCAGCCATGGTCTTCACCACAGGCTTCAGGAGAATCTCTGCTCTGGCATCTGGAGCACCTCCTCCCCCTCCTTCTTGGATGACCTTGGTGCCTTCAGGGCTGCTTCTCTCACATATTTTCACTCTTCTCACCCACCTGCTGTTGTGTAGTATTGTTTTCCCTTTCTTAAATATTTTATCCCAGAGGCACTACCACTGTCACTGAGGGGCTCACTCTCAGCCAGTGGCAGGTCCACCTTGGAGCAGGCTGGTATTGGCTGTCACACATGGGGGCAGCCTCTGGTGTCTTCTCACAGAAGCCACTCCTACTTCTCCCCTGCTAGCAGAACCTGTTCCCACAAACTCAATACTACTATGCAGACACTCACAAGTTAATATCAACATTTAGATATTCTAATTTCCAACTGAATTCTATATTACATGTTCACAGCCGAGGACATAGCATGTTATACGAGGTTGTCTAAAGCATTTCTCATATGTTCTTGAAGGTAAAGTGTAAAATTTAATTTCCAAGAAAATAAGACATTAATTTCATATCTCACAGTAAGATGTTAGTGAAAGACATAACTTCCACAGGTCTGTGGCTGTGAGAACAGTTAACACTCAACTGGCAGAAGAAAATCAAGCATATGGGAAAAATCACAACTACTGTTAAGTCAGTGCCCATTTAACACTGCATGATCATCTGGACCATACAACTCATCAGGAGTTCTGAGGGCATATGGATGTTTTAAAAAGCTTTCACGCTGCCTAGGTCTTTACTAGCTTACTCTGAGGCCTTCATTTCATTACCAATAAACAAGTCATTTGCTTTCCAAAAGCTCACTTCAACTGATCCAATACATATTCTGATTATGAATGAGTAGCGTGCAGATATATTTGCAGATATATCTGCAAGCATGTAGATATAATAGCTTAGTGGTACTTGGGAAATATTGAATATAAATTATTATTTACATAATTACAGCATCCATGATTACACTGCCTCACTGCTGAAGAGAACTTTAGGGATTTTCTTAATAACACATAATTCATTTTCCTTTGGCACTGAAAAGCTGGGTATTCAAATAGCATGAAGTCAGTACTCTAAATGTTATACAGTCAATAGCATGGGGGAAAAACAATTTCAGTTGATGAAAACAAACTTTAACTGTCATCTTCTACTTTGAGTTAAGACAGAGGAAGATTTGTGATTCAAAAAGTCATAAAACCCTACCTGACAGAATCATGATTGAAAAATCTTTGTTTACTAATTTTCCAAGTCTTCTAAAAAGCTAACGCTGAAGCTGAAACATATAATTAATTGAAAATTAATGAAGATTTTTCACAGTTCTGTCACTTTTTTTTTTTACTCCTTTGCTCTTTCTTTTTTAGCTAATGTTTTGCATAACATTATCTCAACATACTGGAAGTAAACAATACAATTCGTACTATTAACATTCAAGGTATCTTCAGTCTGGACCCCTTTGTACTCAACTAAATTTACTCCAGAGAATTAAAGAGCTGCAAGGAAAATATGTTCTTTGCCTCTCACAGAGCTGAGGTACATTATTACAGAGATTAAGATCCAGAGAGAAGGATTTGGGTCAGTAAGCAGGATGAGGGTAAAATGTGGGTCTTTCAATTCAAGTCAGTAATTCATAAAATATCTCTTCTTTGTCTACAGCTTTATGGCAATGATGTCTGCACTCTGTCCAGCTTCTTACTCTGAAGCTAATGGTGTCTCCTCACTATGTTCTTCCTGTAGAATCATCCAATTAACAGTAGAAATATATAGCAGAAATATTACAAATATATAGTAGGGGAAAAAGAAACCCAAACCAGTAATGAGAGCGTAATCAAGAAGCTGCATCTGTCCCCCCACAGACCAGCAGCACAACCAGTGGGCCATAGAACCTTCCTCCCAGTTCCTCTTTTTCAGACTCTAATTATGTGCTCCTGTCCCCACAATAGATACCTGACACTGGGATACTCTGTTGGTGTTACGAATTAAAATCAAAACATTCCTGCATTGTTCTTTTTCTGTCTTATTTACAAAGACTGCATCCTTTGAAGAGCTTTAAAAACATGAGATCATAGCCAGAGAGAGCTTCATCTTTATAGCAGGATTCTTGGAAAATAAAGTAGTTTCTCCATGGGTTTTGTGTGCCTTGGGAAGCCTATCTAAATTGATGAAATAGAGACTTGCATACCTTCGCTCAGTGTTGCAAATGTATTACAACAGGAAGCCACTAGGTTTTACTAGATAATTTCAAAAACCATGGGGTGCTATGCAAAAATTAAACTTAAAATATTAGTT